TAACGTGGTTCCATCCCAAGGGCCAAACTTCAATGCCCAGGATATGCCAATTCAATAGGCATGAAAAACTTAAAATTTCACTCTGGATTCATCATCAATGTCCAGCCAGCGAGGAAGACATACCGAACAGCTGAGTCACATATGATCTAGTTAGACTGCACAAAAGAGACTTTCAAAACCCCCTTCCCACACACAAAGAACCAGAAGTGATATCTTGACCACATGCCCAACTTAAAGAGGAAAAAAGAGAAATGAGCAAACAAAAAGCAAACAATATTTCTGAGTGTAGCAGGGCACTAAGGTGCCTGCTACTTGGAGAGCTGGAATAACCACGCAGGTACTGGTTGCTGGGGTAACCAGAGTGAACTAGTGACCCACACCTGCCTGGTCAGCTGACTAGAAGGGGCAGGGCCTGGCTCCTATATAAATCACAGGCTGGAGGCCAGGAGGCAGTTCCCTGCTGGCAGCTAAGGGAGAAGGAGCTTTGCTGGAGAGAGTAATGAGAAGCCTGAATACACGAGTGGCTTGAGATGGTGAGAGATGGAGCACCCCTGGTGTGGCGGGAAGAATGTTGGAGCCAGGGGGCTGAGATTTATGTTACAGCCTAGGGGCTTATGCTTTGTGTTTGCTGTTTGTAACCGGAGGTTGTGGGTGAGGCTATAAGGGGATGAAGGAGGCCCCAGAGAAGGGGGGGCAGCACAGCGAGAGGCCCCAGAGAAGGGGGCAACGACCGACGTAAGTCCAAAAGGGCAGTATTGGGAGTGTGCCGACCCTGAGCGCCAAAAAGACCGCAGCAGCGGGAGTGTGCTGACCCCGAGTGCCCAGTAAGGCAAGATGAGAAAAGGTCATGTGGAACCCGAATGCCCAGTGTGGCGCTGTTGAGAGACAGGGCTGTGGAGAGCCCAAGTGACAGTGAAGCATCAAGTGCAACCAAAGAATGTTTGGTACATCTGCGAGGCTTGGGGCATGGTACAGGGGTGGTTGGAGCCACGCATAGCCCATAAGGCTGGGGTGCATGGAACACCCAATACAGGAACGGGAGTAGTGATAAAAGGAGAACCGTGGCCCAAGAGGACGAAAGGCAGCCTCCCTATAAAATATATATGACATCAAAGTCGTGGCAGGTGAGATTTGAGGGTGCTTGTAGGTAGCTTGGCACGGTACAGAGGGCAAATAGGGGAGACCACAGTGACCCTAGGACGCCCTCCTGTTACACTGAGTATTCTTCAGTCACTAAAATCTTCAGGAGACTTAAATTTCCCACATAGTACAGTTCATCAAGCTGCTTCTAATGAGTTCATAATTGCTTTAATTTTCCCTTCACATACCTATGTTACAAAACACTGGTCAAAATCTACCCTCAGCTTTTACTGGATTTTGTGTAAATAGTGTAACATACTGACAATGTTCCGTCAAAGGAGTAGTGGTCCATGACTGTGCCGCTTTGGTCCTGCCTCCCCCTTTTGGCATGGTGCGGTCCGCTGGTAAGTGTCCCAAAGTAAGTGTCCAGGCGGGAGCGGGCAGGGTTCGGCCACCACCCTTCTCCATGGTAATTGCTGCCCAGAGCAGCACAGTGGAGTGCTGTGGGCCGACACAATCAATTAATAGAATGCAGTGCTTCTTCTGGACATGCACTGCGCTTGGTGCAGGGGCACCAAGATTAAAGTGCTATTTTGGGGGGTGTGATATCCGTAAGCAGCCAAATGTTTTTAACACTATGACTTCCTATGTGAAATCTCTAGGTTTATTTTGTGAATCATATTTGCATACCCAACAGTGTTAACATTGTGTGGTACCTCACAGGACCCTTGAAAGGATCTCAAGAAACCCCAGGGTGCTGGAGCAGCCTGGTTGAGGGTCACTGGTCTACAGACTCCAGAAGTCTGTGCCACATCTAGAAAGATGGCTGGCCATCCACATAAATTGCAGATATTTTATTTGGGTTATCTTCCTGGGGAACAGGAGTCCTTCAGAACTGCTCCGCTCCCCCCCATCGCCTCGGGGAGCGAGGCACATGGTGTCTGGATTGGGGAGCGGAGCAGTTCCCAGGAGCCAGTGGAGCTTGCGCGAGCCTCAGCTCCCGTCCCTGCCTTGCCTCACCTTGGGGAGGAGCTGCTGCCTGCCCTGCGTGAGGTTCTGGCAGCTCCGGGGAACTGCTCCGTGGGCTCCACCAGCTCCGGGGAACTACTCCACGCCCGGCCCTGACGCCATGTGCCTCCTCGCTCCCCAGGGCGATGCGGGGGAGTGGAGTCGTTTCCTGGAGCTGGTGGAGCCCACGGAGCAGTTCCCCAGAGCCGGCGGAGCCTGTGCCAGCCCACAGACCCAGCCCCCATCCCTGTCCTCGCCTCGCCTCAGGGAGGAGCTGCTCCCTGCCCTGCCCTGCATGAGGAGCGAGGAGCTTACCATCGTTAAGTGTCCCACACTGGCCCTGGTGCCTCTGCCACACTTCGCACCCAGCTCCTCTCCAGGTGGGTGACCGGCCAGATTTTTACTTGTGTATGCACCTTAGAGGGAACACTGCATACTGGACAAGTCGTTTTCCGGAAGCAGATGAAGTGAAGCAGTGCCATTTCCCTTCTCATTTTATTAAGAACAGATACGTTTAATGAGACAACTAGGGACTTGTGAACAACCACTGTATAAACACATTGACTCTAAAGCAGGGAAACTACCTTGAACTTTAATTATGTTCTCATACTGTTTAGCTTCAGGGCTATTTTATTAACTTTGATAATTTTTCTCTTTCCAAATGTTTTATTGCTATTGTCCTGTAAAAAAAAACAAAACAAAAAACCAAAAAAACCACAAAAACCAGTAGATAGATAAAAGTTTTGGAGGAACATGATGCTACAAAGCCAACAAAATATATTGGACCTTTCAAGTGAACAAATATTAAAAGAGAGGCATTTGGTTTTTGATAGAAATATTGATTCCAGCATTGCAAAAACCCACCACACACTTTGCTAACACATGCTGTTTCAAAGAATGTATTCTCTTTGGGCATGTAAGTGCATTTTTTTTTTTTTTTTACCCTATTGTAAATCTTCATGGGCACCAGAGCTCACAAGTTGCTTACCAAGTTTATGGCAGATAAATTCATCCCAATCCCACCACTCCTCAATAACTAGTAAACAGAAGTTTAGTTGACAACTAAAAGAGTCATAGTTCATACACAAGTTTCTAACTTCATGTACAAGAGTGATCTGAACAAAAAGAAACAAGCATGCATTGACAGCTTCAGTGCAGGCTAATCATCACACCATTGGGTTGTTTTTTAATAGTGTTATTATAGGCAAGGCCAAGTACCATCTCATTAACTCAACATGACATGTTATTAAAATATCATACACATTCTAGGGTTTGGCTACAATGGGAAGATGGGAACAGAGGAAACCGCCACTAGGTGGAATGAATATGATCAACCTCATACCATTCCCCATAGATAATACACCCAATCCTTAATTTTGAATTGCAGACTGAAACCTGAACCTCCATCAACATGGGCTTTAATAGGAATGTAAGCTCTTCCAACTTGATGCATATGTTGGTGGGCTACTTGTAATGTGAAAAAAAAAGGCACCTCATTAAAATGCCACATCTTGCAAATGACATTTGGCAATGGTACCTCAAGACTGGCTCAAAACAATGCTGATGAAGAAAATCCCTGTGCATCTCTACTGACAGAATCATTTCCCAACCCCTTCCCATGTGAAATAACTGAAGAGTGACCAAATATTTAAAAAATGATAAGGGGAAGGGGTGGAGAAGTGAGATCTGTCTGGAGCTGCTCTAAAATAAACAGCGAGAAGAAAAGAATGTGGGAGAGGGGGAAACAAACAAACTTTGAGTCTCTTGAACCCCAATTCAACCTGCATCCACTCAACTGTTGTTGTTCAGGCAACAGAAATTGCTCCTCTCCCACAAAAAAAGCAGAAGGGGAATGCAGAATCTCCCATTTCATTTTGGCTTCTTAACAAGGAATACACTAATCAACTCCCTTGACATCTCACTACAATACCGGGGGCTCTTTGACTGCTGTGCTGACTTCTGCTAAGAAATCCTTTTATTGTAACCGACCACATTCACATGACATAGGTCTGATGCTTAGGGTGGTAAGTGCCTTTTGAATGGTGCTGCATATCTCCAAATCAAGGAAATAGAAAACAAAGGTGCTAAATCTCAGGACCAAGCAAAAGGGACCATAAGTTATGTCTAATTTAAAGGGCATTACTAGGGTTTTTTAACTCTGACTGAAGCTATTCCGGGAGATTTTTTCCCCAACATGATGTAATGTCATTAATTCACAATATCAATCTCCTGGTTTGCTTTCAATAGTCACTGGGAGAGATCGATACCGATTCTGGTAGACACCCAGCAAATCTGGGAGGGTTGGTAACCCTAGGCATCACTGAGTTCCTAGCAGGAAAAAGAAAAAGTCACCTTCAGGGAAAAGATTCTTATCACTCAAAGCCTGTTACATATGGTAGTCTCCTTCTCAAAGCAAAGCTGAATTATGCCCTCCTCCCCACTCTCTGACAGACAAAGGAAACAGGTCAAACCTGAATGGACAAATTCTACAGATCTGACCAAGCAATGAGCACCTGGGAGGAAATTCTTCAGAGTCAAAAACAATTATTTGTTCTTCTCCTGCAGCCTGGCTGAAGCTGTAAAAAGTGCAAGTCCTGGCCTAGTTGTAAAATTGATTATGCATGTGTAGGATGGCTAGAGGTTATAAGTCTCTGGAACATCTAAACTTCTGACCTTGATAACACTATGACCTACTTAGAAAACTGAGGCATGCACAGTTGAAACCTTGTTATATAACAACAGAGCGGGAAAATTACGTTAATAAGTTTACGTGTTACTATTTAACGTGATTGGTCCAAGACAGTAATGTTATTGATTGATTGGAATGAATGAATTGTGATTGGACCACTAGTATGATTGACAGGTTGCATGAGGTGGCCACCATAAAATGGGTTTTGACCGTTGCCTCAGTGTGTGCGTGTCTGCGTCGAGAGGCTGTGTGAGCTGAGTATGTGCAGGTAGATGTGACTGACGATGCATGACTGGCTGTATGCCTGGGTGTCCGTATGTGTTGGGCGTCGTGGCTGAGAGCCTGAGAGATGTGTGTGGTTATTGAATCTGCTGGAGAGGCTGGGGACGATTGGGAGTGTGGATGCTGAGTGGTGTGTGCGGGAACAAGGATAAGCCCACCAAGATGCACCTGAATTCCACCTGAGATACTCACCTTCATTTCATTCCGGGTAAAGTATCACCCTTCCCTTCAGACGTCTCCAAGTACTCCACTTGTGGAGGAAATGGTAGAAATCCTGTCTGACAGGGATCTGACAGCAGCCTGGGTGTCAGCAGCCTGGGTGTCAGTGCTCTTGGCTGCCAATTCCGGGTAAAGTATCACCCTTCCCTTCAGACGTCTCCAAGTACTCCACTTGTGGAGGAAATGGTAGAAATCCTGTCTGACAGGGATCTGACAGCAGCCTGGGTGTCAGCAGCCTGGGTGTCAGTGCTCTTGGCTGCCACTGCTGTTGCTCTCTGTACATATTTCTATATGGCGTTCTGTTAAGTGGTTGTTCACTAGTTCATGTTGTTATGATTGTTGATACTTTTGGCTTGTAATACAGATTGCTTATTAACCCTTATTTTTGGTGTTTGTATTCATTAACAGTAGTGGACCTCAGGTTGGGGCTGGGCCACAGGCCAGTACTCTGAGGGATTAACCCTTTCAGGTGCAATCGAATCATAGACCCCTAGCACAGTAGAGGCCTAAGAAACCTCTGCCCCTGTAATTACCATAGCCCTTGTGCCAGGCCAGTCTTCAAAGCAGGCGAGTTTAAATATACATGTACCACACCAGACAGCATTCCATATATTAAAATTACACATGCAACAACAGAAAGCAAAAGCCAGTGCCTCTTCCCTAGCTTTTCAAATTACTGTGCCTGAAGGCTGCCAGACACTCAATTTTAAGTATTCTTTTGAGACAATTGATTCTTGTGGATAAAATCACTACCTCAGTGTAGCTTTTCTAATGCTAGTAACAAGTCTGAAATTCAGTCTTTCCTGTTTAAAGTTTCACCTCTATCCCTTGTTGCCTTTAAAGAGGCAACCCCCCCCCTCCCCCCCCCCAACCTCTTCCAATGTTTTATGGCTAGATTTTACTTTGAGAAGTGAATGACAATTTATAATTCATCAGGCTAGAAAAGACATCTTAGCAGACTTTTTATGAACTTCTTTATTAGCTCTTGGGGAGAATGGGCTAGACACAAGGAAGCAAAGGCTGTGAAGGCTGTCTCCTAATGAGAGAGCAGTGCTTCCAGCGGTGATCTCAAAAGTTATGTTGATTTCAGAGCTGGATCAGATTAAAACTAGATCACACTGGTTTTTTCTTGCTGCCACCTTTGTACCCGGCCCTTAGACACCCTTTGTTGGGATGCTCTTTCCCAAATTTATGCAGCAGTCCAACTATCTGGGCTTATAGATGTGCAAATTATTTTGATGTTGGGTGATGCTGAAAAATGTAAGCGAGTAAACAAAGTGAATTTGGTCCATATAAATTCTTGTACGTACAGTTAGATAACCAGAGTTACAAATATATCCAGTGATATAAAATCATTTTCTCCAAGCAAAAAAATGCCCAGCTATCTTCCTTCCCCCCACCCTTCTTACTTCTTACTACTTGGCTTAACTGTTAAAGAATAAATCATTTCTTTGTAGACCTGTTCCGTGGGTTTCACCCATAAGGCTTTCATTCCCACCATTATTTCCAAATGTAAAATTATACATATATCCATATCCATTTGGGGAACAAAATATATATGCTCTTTAATTCCTTCTAACAGGATCATTGTAAAAAAGAAATGAAATTGTTAGGTTAAAGCTCTAATCATTGCATTCTCCTTCAACCGTTAAACCAAATTAAGTTTTGTTTTCAACCAGCCTCCTCTCTACTTAATGCAGGACCAGATTAGCTTACTGTGAGAATGTATTTCTTGATTTTTTTTAAAATAGGAAATCCTAACATAATCATTTTACACTGCTTTTCTTTGAAGACTGTACCTTCTTTGATTCACCACTTAAAAATATATTTGCTTTCCTCACAGAGAATCCTGTGTTTAAAGGTAGCTGACACATTTGGAATGAATGTAACACAGAAGAGAGTTCAGAATAGGAACAAATCGCTCATTCTACGAAAGCATTCCTGAGTAAGTAGACCTGTGTTGTGGCTCAAAATGTCTACTAGTAATATTTTGCATTACAATTGCACTCAATTCCAAGGTTACAAAAACAAAAAATTAAAAAACGAGCAGCTTTAAATATGTGGCAGCTTGCTCTTACCGGTGTAGCTGACTCCAGAACAGATCTTAAAGCAAACTGTCTCCCTTATTATGAAATAATTTAAGGGCTGTTGAAAGCATGCCTTGTGCAAATTGACATCAATTTAACAGCAGTGGCAGGATATCTTTAAGTGGAAATAATATTTCCTAAAGAACTCCACCATAACTCAGTGTGCAGAGTCAACACTTGCCAGCAAGACTTTTGAAAAGTAATGCACTTCCCAATCTTAATTTATCAATTAGCAGAAACAAAATTGTTTGCCTGATCTAGGTTTATTACACTCAGCCTTTAAACAAACATGTTCTTTATAAAGACCCAGGAAGCACTGCATGTGGTACACTGCTTAACAAACATTACAGTAACAAGAACTCAGCAGAGATGGAAGAGAAGCTACACAAGCAAAGATGATGGAATGCTTGGGGTCTCCCTGGAAGGAGCATCCTGCCAAGTGAATTAGTGGCCTCAGGCAGCTAAATGCTTAAGGCTTATCAAGGGTGTTGGCAGCAAAGTACTTTGTTGACATGAGCTTGACAGAAGAAAAAGCTCAGTACTTGTTATTCATTTATTTTGAAACTTGAAAGGCTGAATAATCATCATTTCTGGATGTACGATGGTGCTAGCACCAAGGCTACTCAGAAGAACGCTGATAGCATGATTCTGTATGACAAGTACCAAACACAGGCTGGTATCCATTGGCCCTTTCAAGAAATATCAGATTACTAGATGATGAATAGGTGTCCACTTACCTAACTTTTCATTAAGCTAGAGTTATGAGATGCCATTCAGTTAGCAACCCATGTTGTCTGCAGATGTCCACAGCAAACTAAGTGCTATTCTGGTCTATTTTTAAGTGTCCCCTGCCTCCTTTTAGTTCAATCCACAAAAGCAGCCTGGGTATGAGCAGCTAGTTATACATATCTTCGCTCTTGTTGTCTATTTACGGGGCATACAGATAGTGGGTAGGAAAACAGAAAACTTCCAGTTACTAGCGCAGGTGGGGTAATTATTTCTGCAGCCACACAGGTCATAGCATTTTAGATATTTGTACTAAGCACTGTTTTTGCAATGAAAAGATTGCACATGTTACCTGTTGATGCCTATCCTATTTTCAGAACTAAAATCACCACACCATAGTGAGAGGAACACAATTATCAGTTACCTATTACTACTATGATCCACCCCACCCTACCCTCACAAACCTAGCTTCACTTCTTCAGTGTTCTGCCATAGCCTACACTACCCTCATGGTCCTTCCTCAAATGATCCCTCCCATTTTCCCAGATTTTTACAGAGGTAACACAGCTGAATTGTGTATTTACTACCCCTTTGTTACAAAGCATCCTTTTATAATTCTCCACCAATTGGATTATTTTTAGGAAAGGGAGCAAAAAATAAAAAGTCCATAAACATGATATACTACAACTCCCATGATTTGAAAACATCCCATGAAAACATAACTGCTTTATGGGTACTTATACCTAAGTCAAGGATCCAGTATTTACAGGTGCCAGGCTGCCTGTTGCCACAGTAGGAAGAGTTAACAGGATGAAGAGAATCCAGAGTATCAAGCCGCTTAATTCCGTTTGGCATGGTAAAAAATGAGCTGTTCTGAGTTGTTTAGTTAAAAAAAGAAAAAAAAAAATCATCTCCTTGCTTGCATGCCAGGGAAGCATTACACAAAACACACCGCTGAGGATGTTCACATAGACAACATAAAAAAAAAAAGAAACATATCATCAGATTTAAGTCATGCCATCTTTTAACTGTAGCTTCAGAGCAGCTCCTCTCTTACAGGGGATGTTCTTCTCTGACTCACTATGGAACACTGCTCCGTTTTTAACTTTACATGTAGGAATAGACAGATGCATTTGATTACTCTCTACCGTAACTACCCTAATTGAAGCTCAAGTAATCCTAGAAAAGGCTGTGAATCAGATGGTCCTTTATTTTCTCCTCCCTCAGAAAAGGGTATTACTTAATCAAAGTAAAGTATCAAAGAGGAACACAAAAGCCTCAATCAGATTAGTATTAATTTAGTTAGTAATAAAGATAGTTTTGTGTCCTCCCCACTGCTGACTGTATCTGAAGCAAGACTAGAAAACATTGAGACACAAGCTAGACATTTTCTGGTCCCTAAGAGCAATTGGTCTTCCCCTACCTTCAGTAACTGTGCAACAGAAAATCTGTACACAGGGCTAAATTCTGTCTGTGGGTATATATGTTCATGCTTCTTACATATCTTGACAGGGTATAATAAAAAAAACAAATGCCTCCCTTCTTAAAAAAAGTATGAAAGTTAAACTTCAGAGTAGCACATTTTTCTACTCTAACTCCTGCAGAATTAAGTCAGATTTTTAATAACCCAGCGTTCAGCATTTTGTGAGCTGATGAAAAAGAAATTATTTTTCTTTTGCAACATGGGTACATTTTTATAAAATTTTCTGACTGAACAATTCCCACAAACAAATTCTTGCATACACTGTTTTGTGTTATTTGCTCACTCATTAGGTCTGATGTTTGTTCTTTATTTCCTAGCTGTCATTAAGGGGGAAAAAAATTAAAAAATATTCCCATTCACTGTCTCCCCACAGTCTCCTTAGCATCCCCAAAATGATACCTATTAAAAGAAAGTTTCTCTGGAGATCAAAGGAATGGAAGCCCTTCACATTTCTTATTTTGTTGTACACATGAAGTGCACATATTTCCTATTTTGTTGCACACATGAAGTGAGGTTTGGAAAAAATCCAACGGATTTGTCAGCATGCAAAATACTGCATTTTCAGCTGAAAGAGCATTCTGGGTATGAACATACTTCAAAATTCATGTCCAGGACAGCCAGCAGAACTACTGTGATTTTAATTGAAAACAGTTTGATCGTATATGAGCAAAGCAAATATGTAGCAAACATAGAAATCAAATACTCTGGAGCTTTGTACTGCAATAGGTTTCAGTTGCCCTTTAAGCCAGGCTTGTTCAACATGCGGCCCGCCAAGGCATTTTCTGTGGCCCACAGTGCTGCGATGGGAAACGAAAGTAAACACTGTTTATTTTCATTCTGCCCCTTGTCCTTCCCCCAGTCCCTCAGCAGCTTCCTAATGGCTGCTGAAGGGCTGGGGAAGGGACAAGGTTCCCACACACACCGCGAAAGCTTGACGTTGCAGACGCGGTGCGTGTGGGAAGGAGTAGTCATGTGCCTCTCAGGACAGGATGAGCCCAGCCGAAGCAGCAGGGGGCTCAGCTGCACTTAGGCAGGGGGAAAATGCAGCTGAGCCCCTGCCGCTCCGGCCAGGCTCATCCCCTCTCGAGCGGCACACTGCTCCGCCACCACTTCTGCTGGCCGGTGCAGACCCGGCCCACCTTCTCCCGTCCCCAGCACCACGTGAAGTCACCACTCCCTGCCCACAGGCGAGGCAGCCCGGCTTAGCCGCCTGGCCCCGAGTCGCTGCTGGAAGCGGAGCGGCGCGGGCAGGTGCCTCCTCCTGCTGGCCTGTCAGCATTGGCTGCGCTGCGCGGGGCGGCCCCAGGCTTGGGCGGAACCCGCGCTTGCTGCGCCCCAAGGTGCCACCTGGCCCAGCCCTGGCTCTGGCTCCCTCCAGCCCAGCGCGGCACGGCAGACCCGCAGAGACGGCACAGCGGCCGGGCTCGCCCTCGTCATCTGCCTTTGCTGCCTCCTGCCCGGCCGGGGTGCCACAGGTAGGGCCAGGCCGGGCCGGGCCGGGGTCAGGGTGGGAAGATGGCGCCTCCCCCAGGGCCGGGCCGGTGACTGTGGGCTCCTGGCACCTGTGTGCATGGGGGGGGGGAGGCCCCTGCCGTTCACAGGCTTGACTTTTGCAGCCTTGACTTGTAAAATGTTGGCATACCAGTGGCAGACAGCAGGGGAGCCACGAGGGGCTCTATCCTTGTTGTGGCAGCACAGCCCTGGCCCTTCCCCTGAAGTCTGCTCCGAAGCACGCATGCCAAGCAAAATGCCTTTGTGTGCTATGCTCTGGCACTCATGGAAGGGGTTGCCTACTTCTGGACATAAGTCTCTAGCCAAAAACCTCTGGATTTGGTCCCAGAAGGAGCATTGGCACACCCCAATCAAAGTCCCTAGCCTCGGTTGTAACCAACACCCAGTACCTATGAGGGAGACTTAAAAACACCCTGGCACATATAGCAGAAAGGGGAAGGGTGGTGGTGGGGCCCAGAAGCATGAGAAGTACCCATAGCAGAACATAGGCATAGCTATGCCAAGATCAGGGGTAGGCAAAATATGGATTTTAAAATACATTTCCAGACCCATTTCATTGTCACTTCCTGCAACTTCATTGATGTCAAAGGTCACGTGACATCACCTCCTGATGTGATACCACGTCCGGTGAGGTCTTTGAATATGGCTCGCCAGCCCACTGGGTGATAAAAAGTTCGCTATCCGGCCCCACATTCAAAAAGGATGGACACTCCTGCTTTAAGCTGTTTGGTGGGGTTCCTTCTCCAAACAGAATCCGAGCAGTAAACTGACGAAGAGAAAATGACCACATGAACCACAAGACCAAATACAGGGTCTTCATAAAGTCCTTGTACACTTTTAAACTTTAATAACTCAGATTGTAGGTATGATAGAAACGATCTGTAAATGACATTTAAAAGCAAATGTATTCAAGTTTTAGGATAACTAGAGTACACAATGCTGGACTTCATAAGTAATAACGAACTTATTCTTAAATAAGATGGAGCTCCGTGCCACTATGCTCTGAATGTACAACAGTTCCTAAATGTTGTTTTCCCAGAGAAATGGATAGGCAGAGGTGGACCAATTGCTTGACCTCATTCACCTGACCTGTTGCCGCTGGACCTCTTTTTATGGGGACATGCTAAAAGTGTAGTT